AACTCTCAATCAACCATCCAATCATTGAGTGCAAAAGAAAAGAAACTTCACATGTCTTCAAGACGCCCAAAACTAGAAACAGTTCCATAAAGATTTTTTTTGAAGTGTCAATGCTCAAATGTGGGACTGGAACCCATAATCTAACTTAGAGTTCAGAGTGCTACCATTGACCCAAGAGTGATTGCCACTTTTATATTGAAAACATATTAGCATAAAAAGGAAATGTGATTCAAAATAGACGGGTTGACAGCATACACTCTGTATTTACTTACAAAGTTTGCAAAATAGTGATCTAACTTAGAGCTGTGAAAGAAACTTCAATTCAAAATTTCTTTTTCCAAATACAATGCATATTGTATCAAGCAGATCTTTCCAAAGAACTCTTGGAAGGACTGTGAAATAAAAGCAGCAAATGATGGAAAATCAGGTAGCATCTGTGCAGAGACACAGTTAACATTTCAAGTTGGATGACCTTTCATTAAATCTAATTTTTTCCATTTCTAATGAAAGGTACTCAACCCGAAATATTTGCTTTGTTTCTCTACAGTTACTGATGAGGACATTTAGCATTTTCTGTTTGTATTTGATTTCCAGCATTTGGAGTGTTTTGCTTTTGTCTTGGGAGGCGGGCAAGGAGGTGGCGAATGTATTAATGTTTTGTTTTCAATAAGTTGGAGACTTTACATTAATGTTTGGGTATTGAGAGTTTCTGAAGAGTTAATTCATTCACCTTGAAGTTATGTTAATGAACATTTGGAGACATTTTAGTGGCTAATGCATTTGCATTGCAAAAACTGTTTGAATCTGTTGAGGTCATTAAGTTTTGGTAAACTGCAAAATAAAAGCTGTAACTTAGTACAATATATTCCAGCCAAACTGAGTTATCTTTAGAGATAAAAATGGACTTACAGATGTTGATAATGGGAATATCACATCTGTTGTTGCTCAGCAACTGTCAGTGAAATAGGATAGGCTGCAGGTGGATGGGAGCTATTGCAGCCAAATCCATTTCAATTTAAGACCATGAATTATTTCAAATAATATGCCCATGAGATTACTTGGAAGCTGCAGCTGGGATTAGAAAGCTGAAGAGCCTTGCTTTACCCAAACATGGCACAAAAGTGACTAACCATAGCACTTGTTTTAAGATTATGGTCTTTCCCTCCATCATCTAGTCAAATCCTTTGGTTACATTTGGTTCTTGAGCAGAAACTAACAGAAGGAATGAGATCAATTTCATCCTTTGATTCTGTTGTTTAGCCTTGACTAGATTTACTTGCACCTAATTTGAATTCAAAACTAATACAATTAGATTGTTCTTTCCATTTTAAAGTGAATGGCATATTTGCAAATGTGTACTTGTCTGTACCAGTGGAGTTACCGTGTCTAAAATAAAGACAATGAGTCCAGAGTCTGGCAAGAAAAGTGAGAATATCTGTCTACTGGGTTTGTATTTTCATTACAATTTCTTGCAAAAATTAATGTATTGAATGCCCAAACATGTGGAAAACATGAATCATGGTAATAACCAAAGCCCTTAATGAGTTCTTTAATCATCTGTAGTGCTTAACAAAGGTTTTTAATTAAAATTGTCATTTATTCGTACTGGCATTTTATAATCTGTTGTATATGTAACAGATGTATAAAATTTTACATTCTGTCAAAACAATTAGTTGACTTGATAGCTCAGTGGTGGTGGTTTATCATAGGACTGTTTAACTTTCTTGTTAAATTCTCCAATTTTTTTTCTATTTATGCAGCATTTATTTCACTTGCCTTAAGGGAAAATAGTGCTAAATCGGTCAAAAATTGCAATTTAACTTTGATTTATTATAATTAAAATGTTATGACTAGGATTACAGTTCGGTGTGATGGTGGGTGTATCTAAGGTTTTTGTTATTTACACATAATCTGTTTAATAAAAAATCCAGAGATACAGTCACACAAAGATTTGAATTGGGAGCAAGGGGAGGCCATTGAGCCACTCAGGCTCACTGCATCATTCAATAAGAGGATTGTTGATCTGATTACTCCACATTCCTGCGTGTTGCACCCTATCCTACCAATAACTTCTCATTTTATTGCTTAACTAAAGTCTGTCCACCTCTGTTTTATAAATATCCATAGACTGAACTTCCGCTACCTTTTGAGGAAGTCGGTGTTTGCTGACACCCACAACTGTGGGGAACTGCACGTGCATGCTTATTCAAAAACACATGTGCACGCAATTCTAGACCCAATACTTCATCATGTACAATTTACTTGTGACATCATATGCAAAGCCTGCACTCCCAGCTTTCTGATTATTATTCCCTCCCCTACTCCTGTCTCCTGTAGCCCCACCCACACCTGTGCATGGGCCTCATTACCCTCTTTTCTCCTCATGAGTATCTGGCCCCATCCACCTGGAACTGCTTAAATGTGCATGCGCTAATTGAAGCAGTGCATAGCCTGCATTGGCTGGTGTCAGCAAAACAGTCTTTGAGGAAAGGAGTTTCAAAGATTCATGACCCTTTTGTGAGAAAAAGATTCTTATCTTCACTGTTTTAAATGGGCTGTCCCTTTATTTTGAAACAGTGACCCTTAGTTCAAGGTTCTTCCATAAGAGGTGACATCTTTTCCACATCTACCCTGTCAAGACCTATGTTTAAATCAAGTTGCCTCTTATACTTCAAGCTCCAGCTGATACAAACCTAGCTTGTCCAACCATTCCTCATAAGAAAACATGGAGAGAATACAGCAAAGGTTTATCAGACTGAGTCATAGGACTAGCGTATGAGAGAAATTGAACCTTTAGGGTTATATTCACTGGAGTTCCAAAGAATGGGGGAGGGGGGTGGTAATCTCATAGAAACCTGTAAAATTCTATCAGAATTAGAATCCTGGAAAGGCTAAATGCAGGAAGGATGTTCCTGATAATGGAGAAGTCCAGAACCAGGGGTTACAACCTAAGGATACACTACAAACCACTTAGCACTGAGATGAGGGGAAATTTCATCACCCAGAAAGTGGTGTGGAATTCACTGCTACAGAAAGAAGTTGAGGCCAAAATGTTGTATGATTTCAAGAAGGATTTAGATGTAACACTTGGGGTTAAAGAAATCAAAGGATATGGGTGAAAAGCAGAAACTGGCTGTTGAGTTGAATGATCATCCGTGGTCATAACGAATGGCAAATCAAGCTCAAAGAGCCGAAGGGCCTACTAGTGCTCCTATTTTTTTATGTTTCTTTCTTTAAGTAGTTGAGCCCCACAGGAATCAGTGCTGGGGCCACAATTATTTACAATGTATATATTAATAACTGGGGTGAGGATTGTGAATGTAGAATAGCCAAGTTTGCAGATGACACAAAAATAGGTGGAAAAGCAAGTTATGAGGATGACACAAAGAGTCTGCAGAGGGATACAGGCAGGTTAAGCGAGTGGACAGAAACTTGGCTGATGGAATATAATATGGGGAAGCATGAGGTTATGAACTTTACCAGGAAGAATAGAACTGCTGAATATTATTGAAATGGAGAAAGATGACAGAAAGCTTCGGAACAGAGAAACTTGGAGTCCTTGTCCATAAATCACAAAAAAACGAGCATGCAAGTTCAGTGGGTAACAGGGATGGTAAATGAAATGTTGGCCATTACTTCAAAGGAAATGGAGTAGAAAAGTCAGGAGAGTTTGATAAAACTATACAAATCACTACTCAGACCTCAGTCGGAATACTCTGAACAGTTTTAGGCCCCTTATCTAAGGAAAGATGTACTGGCATTGAAAGCAGTCCATGGAAGGCTCACCAGGCATGGAGAGACTGTGTATTATGAGGAGAGATTGAATTGATTGGGCCTGTACTTGTTGGATGTAGAAGAATGAGAGGCAACCTGATTGCTTCAAGTTACAAGATTCTTGGGAGACTTGACAGGGTAGTTATAGATTTGTTATTTTCTCTTGTGGGAGAGTCTATGACGGGATGGCATAACCTCAGAATAGGGATCACCCTTTTAAAATAGAGATAAGGAAGAATTTCTTCTCTGAGGGTGATGAACATGTGGAATTCTTTACCACAGACATCTGTTCAGGCTGGGTCAATTAAATATATTCAAGGTTGAGATAGACAGATTTTTAATAAGTAAGGGAGTTGGCAGTTATGGGAAAACTCAGACAAGTGGAGTTGAGGATAATCAGATCAGCCATGATCTCATTGAATGCTGTTACAAACTCAATGGGCTGAATTACCTTCTTCTGCTCCTGCGTCTTATGGTCTAATTACTTGCTATTCCTGCACACTGACATTTTACAACTCATTTACTAGGACACCCTGCTCCTTTATATGTCAGACCTCTACAATCTGTCACCATTAAGATAATATACTCTAAGTGATTACAGATTTTGGTTTTCCACATTTAAATTATTTCAGAGAAGTTATTCAGACCTATATAATGGTGGGATGAAATATAATCTGTGACCGCGTGTAAGGATGTACAATCCTCACATCAAATTATTAAATGTGTTAGCCTTGGCTCAATTGTGAAACTGTTGCCTCTGAGTCAGGATGTCTTCAGCCCTTGAACATGTGATTTCACTGACATTTCAGTGCTGTACTAACAGAGCTGTAATGTTTTAGATAAAACTTCCAACTGGAGATCCTGTCTACCTGTTGGCACTACTTGGAGAATACAAGATTAGTGCTCCCAGTATTTTGGTCAACATTTATCCCTCAAACAGCATCACTAAAACAGTTTAACAATTTTTCAACTGTTATTTGGTGGACTTTGCCACAAGCCAATTAGTTGCTACACCTATCACTGAGTTTTTGAGAGATACTGTATAAATTAAAATTGTTTTGTTTTTAAAAGTGTTTCAGTTCAGGTGCCAAGTTTACTTGGATCAAATGCTAAATAAGCCTTGTGCTTTAGATTATTTTAACCTAAGTTATTAATGATGAAAGATATCACTCCCATGAAGTTTTAGTATCAACCAAGCAATTTTCCCTTTTCCTGGTTACATTCAGGAGGAAAAAACAGTACTTGACAGAAACTTGATGCAACTTCGAGGTTCTGAGAGGCGAATTGTGTTAAAGGTGCGCTTCAACCTTGGCAACAGCAGCAGGCCATATACACAGTGTCGAAACTCCATCCAGGGTAAACTGCTAATTACAGATGAACGAGGTGAGGAACATGACATTACCTAGTTTCCATCTGCCTAGCATTTCTACTTTCTCATTGTCTTGCACCAGGCTGTTGTTTATTGTTAGACTTGTGTTTTCAACGAGTCAATTTTCTTCTAAATAACTTTTATTCTCTGTCATAAGGAGCTTGTTACCCATTTGAAATAATATACACAACTCTTAAAATGTGCTGCAAGATTTTAATGTGGCTCCTCTTTCTCTTCTATTTTATTGCAGGTTATGTATGTGAAAGGAAAGACTTGCTTGTGAATGGCTGCTGCAGTGTAAATGCACCTAGCACAAAGCTTTACGCATGTGATACTTGTTTGCCCAATGACTGCTGCACTGTGTATGAGTACTGTGTCTCCTGTTGCCTACAACCAAACAAGGTGAGAAATTGCATCCTACTTATGTGATACAGACATCTGGGTTTTGACTGAATGACGTGTGGATTACAAAAAATTCAGTTGTTAATATAGATTTTTGTGCGTAGCAAGTCAAAATGAGAGCAAACCTTATGGTATGTTAGGATTCAAAATTAATAATCCAACCAATTCAACTTTAAGTCTTAAATGCAGCAGAGTGGGAGAAGGCTGGTGTAGAACACAAACACTGGTATAGGACGTGTTGGGTGGAATGGCTGTTCTGTGGTGATAATACGATATAGATATTTTCTATACCATCCCATTCAGAGAAGTTATTATACATCAGGAACACTACCACTGTACCACAACAGCCCCAATAATGTAACATAAAACATTTTCTAATCAACCTGTTCCGAGATGTTATCCCCCACCTCTCGACCAGCTGGGACTTGGACCCGTGTCTCCTGGTTTATTAACTAAATAACGTTTTGATCAGCTATGAGTGATCGTCTTAAAATTATTACATATTGCAGTGATTAATGTCCCTATTTCTGAACCAGGGGAGCTAGGTATTTAAAAATCCCTTTGACTATGCCTAAACTGATAAACAGAGAGTCAGATGGTACACCCTGGCGATATATTTATTTCATTGGGTGTACGACCTCAATTACTACATGCAGGCCATGTTTATATAGCATGAGGTATTCGTCCAGATGCTGCCTGTCTTTTAGTAGGACCCAATCAATGTCATGAATACGGCTAACTAATGCTGTATCTTGAGAAGTAGTGGCTATTGTCAGAGAGCCGCCATTCAGAAATCTGCACCACCTTCATCATGGGTTTGTGGTTTGCAGAAGGGAGGCCCATGGCCAGAATTAAGGACATGCTGACAGGCGAAGAGTGGGCTGGATATTTCTGCAGGAGTTGCTGAGTAGAGAGACGGTGGGCATCCAGCTCATGGCAGATGGCATTCATCATTTGAAATGTGGTATACCAGTGGAAGGATGCACAGGCATGTGATATCTCTGTCTGGGCGTGCCACTGCTTAAATGGAGTTTCACATCAGCCCTAGGTTCCAGAACCTCTCTACCTTTTCCTCACTTTCATTGTCATTGTACTCGCCTGATGGGCTGTGCTTGTAAATTGTACTTTCAATTAGGAAAACATGGGTGATTTGGTGGTGGTAACAAACGTGGAGAAGTGTATAATAGCAACTCTGGATAGAAAGAAACTACAGAAGAAAAAAAAAGCCAGGAGACCTGTGTTCTAGTCTGACCTGTGTTCAAGTCCCACCTGCTCCAGAGGTGTGGAAGAATATCTCTTATCAATAGTGTTCAAACACAATAAACTACTCATATTGCATCCAGCTGAACAGTTAATATTTAACCCAGGAAGAGATTAATATTGCTTTGCAACAATTGATCTGAATGATATTTATGGCAAAGCATAATACCATTCAAATAATTTCTCAACATGAAATTAACATTGAAAAAGAAAGATTTACATTTATAGAGCATTTCTCATAACCCAGAGTACTGCACATTTAATTAAGTACTTTTTGAACATAATCACTATTGGTAATATATGAAAGAGGGCAGCCAAAATGTGCACAGCAAGGTCCCACAAAAGGATAATGTGTTGAATAAATAAATTGACTTTATTTTGGGTAATATTTAAAATATTGTACTGCTGGCTGTTTTTAAAATCTACGATCCCTCCTTCTCAGCAACCTCTATTAGAACGTTTCCTGAACAGGGCTGCAGAAGCCTTCCAGAATCTGTTTACAGCAATCGAAGATCACTTTGAGCTTTGCCTGGCAAAGTGCAGAACATCATCTCAGGTTTGTAATAAAGTAATTTCAAATGACTGTGGAGTTAGTCAGAATAAGACACATAAAAATCAATGTCATGCATGATTCAGTTCCATTATGTTTGCCATTATTTCAGCAGTTTTTTGTTTTGCAACCTTTCTAGACTTAATGTGTGAAAAGCAAGGTACACTTTGAAGTTGTTCATATCTCATTAACTTCTGTAAAAGTTGTATTCAATCTTAAAAACTCAAATATGCCAAGTAATTTCTAATTTTCTTGATTATCCATTGGCATAGATTTCTTCTGTAGAAAGTCCCATATTGTGAAAGTGAAATCTGGACTGCTGAATCCTTTGTAACCTAGTTATTTGTATTGGATGGTTTTCAATAGTAACATGCCCAAATTCAACCTGGCTGAATATGATTGTTCACACCAGACTTGAAGCATTAACTCTGTTTCTCTCTCCATAGATACTGCCAGACTTGCTGAGTTTCGGCAGCATTCTCTGTGTTTGTTGACTGAATATGACAATGCCAATTGAGAATGTATAAGCTGTTCATTTATGTTTTACTTTGAACTGATACTTGAATCTGTTCATAGCTTCACTCCTTGAAGGTATCTGGTGCAACACAGCTTAGTCTCCCAGGATTAATGTTGTTTCAAAATATTATTGCTTAAGTAGACATCTTGACAATATCCTATTTCAGGCATTCCTCTTTTGAGTATATTTTCCCACCTATTGTGCATTTTCTTCGCCCTCTACAGAGTGTTCAACATGAAAATAACTACAGAGATCCTGCTGCAAAGTATTGCTATGGAGAAGATCTGCCAGAGCTACTTCCACTTTAATTAATGTTGTTAAAATAGCCGTCATGACCAAACGTTGTAACAATCTCACTGTGGAAGGACTGCAGAAATTTTGCTAAAATATGAGGAAATTGCATTTTTTTCTACATCATTATTTATTCTTTATTTTGTTTCAACTTTTGATGGCAGCAATCAAGGCAACCAAATGCGAAACGATACTCCTCCAAAATGTGTAATTAGTGCTTTGCTCAATATTGCAACCTGAGCAGATGACTGGCAGCAACTAAAGAATCATCAGCAACACTAATTACAGTTTATTTGCATATTTGGAAATTAATTTGAACAAGATATGTAAATATATGCATGTGTTTATCAAAATTAAGATGTATACAACTCTTGATTTATGAGCAGTTCAGATTTTTCTGCTTGCTGCATATTGTTTCAAGTCTTGCCTATTCATAAAGCAATATGATCATATGATAAATGGAATCACATTGAAATATTTTTTCTTATGTTTTGAGCATCATTGAAGCATGATACTTTGTGCAGCAAGATTGAATTGTTGTAGTTAAATACAGGCTCTGAACATTTGAGTGTGCGTATATTAGGTTATCTCCACTCCATTTTATAGATTATATATATCGTGTTTTGGCCTCATTGTTGCATTCTTATCTTCAGTAAAGATGTAGCTGTTTATCTGAGCTATACAAATTAAAAACTAAAGTGATATGCTGTGGCTGAATTTCCAAAAAATAGATTAATTACAACTTCAAGAAAGATGAGGCAAAAATTGAAAGAAACATTTCTTGCAATAAGATGCAATACTGAACAAATTTGAAAAAGAGCATGTTTAAGTTTCCTAATTATGTTTTGAATAAGGAAATGGTACTGAAAGAGAATATGTTTTAAAAACAGCTGTAGTAGTTGGATAGTGAGTAAACAAGCCTCAGCTTTTAATAAAAAAAGTCTATCCTTTAGTGAATGCCAAAGGTTGAAAGGCGATCGTTGTGCATTATTTTCTTTCATTTGAAAGAGTCTCTAGGCAAATGAGCCAGAAGTAAAATATTGGCATTAAAATATGAAACAGCATCATTTGTGCTTGTTGTTCCATATGGTTGTGTATTAAAAACAAGTTATACTTCAGAGAGCATCTTCCTAAGGGTTGAAGAATAAATCATGTGTTTTTGTTTTATATTTGAGATGCTATTAACTTAATGTAAGCTAACTTAATTTGTGTATGGAGACTGTGTAAGTGTAACTGTTCTTGATGTCATGAAATGGAATAATGTCCAAATAAAGAACAATGTAACAGATAAATATTTTTAGAGTTAACTCTCAATGAGACTCGTTATTCTACGACCGTTTATTTATCCCTTTGCCACCTCCACCAAGTTTGCAGCCTGCGTTAGTATTTTATTAACATGAAAAGTTTGAGGGCGCATCTTCAGTATAGGTGTTAGTTTGACAAAGGCAGCTGCAGTTTGGAAACAAGAACATCAGTTGCTGGAAAAATCAGCAGGTTTGGCAGCATCTGTGGAGATAAAGCAGAGTTAACATTTTGGATACAGTGACCTTCTTCAGAACTTCAGCTGCAGTTCAGGTTTTAGCCAGATAGCCTCTTGTTTGCATTGCTGAGTTCCTCTTGGATAGCAAAGTCACATTCTAACCAAGAGAGTGTTCACTCTACAATGGGCAATCATCCAACAGGGATAGTATCCCTGCTTTATTAACATGTTAATTGTAGTCCATTGGGTTGAAAAGTTCCCAGAAGGTCCAACAGCCTCACTTTTTCAACTTGGATTGATATTTTTGTAGACTTACATGCTAATAACAGTCAGAGCACAACCGCAGGAGACTACTAACATCGGGGATTCTCGCTCTACTTCGTACTGGAGCGGAAGTAGAAATTACCGTACTGAGGTGAAATCTACCGTGTAAATGTATCTCTCATGGCCACATCGTTTGCTATCTAGTGCCCATTACTGGGTTGGGATTAACTATAATCTCAGCTGCTAATCTCTATTCAAACAAACATTCAAAACAACAATTTAGGAAGAACTTCCAGCAGCATCGAAATTTATTCATTTTAAGGAGTTTTTCTTATTATGAAACTATTGTTTACATTTACAAATTCATTTATTTCTAAAACGTCAACAATATAATCATTTGAATTAAGCAAGGTAGGAATTTAGTGCTTGAAAATATGCTCAGATCATTTGAATAAAGCAACTGAAGTAAGGTAGTGGGAATATACTGAGTCTAATTTTGAATACTTTAAATCTGCTAGCACCAAGTTCTGATTTGAAGTTGTAGGGGCTGAATTTTCCTGCAGCCATTGTGGTTCTGGAGCCTGTGCACTTTAGCAGCATGTCCATCAGTGTGACTTGAGGTGGCCTTCTAATTTGTAGCTTCCATGTTCAGATCTAATGAAGGATGGCAAAGGGAATAGGATATAAGCTCAACAAGAAAGCCAACAGGTCCTACAGCCCAAAAGACCGCTGAAAGGAGATGGGCATTGCTGAGGCATGACATGAGGGCTTCTCAAAACAATCTTTCTGCAAAGGCTACAGAAGTTTCTATAACCAAGATGTGGTAGGATGGTATCTGGTGACTGGAAAACTCCATCAATGAGGTCCTTTGAGAGAAGCCTTAAGTGTGGTAATTGGTTACCTGCTTCCATGATGATAATTGCCAAATGGCAGCTTGTGTGTTATGAGTGTAAAGATATCAAAGGGTTTGTGTAGAGGAGTACCTCAAGCACCATCCACTATAATCTTGAAAGAGTAAAAGCCATCATGCATTCTTTCACCTAGACTCTGGAGTAAGTAGCTTGTAACTAGTTGCTAACATGCAATAAACAAATTGTCCAAAACAGAAGTTTCTTCCAGTTGGATGAGTTTTCCTCTACCCCACTCGACCAAGTAAACCCCAACTGTAGAAGCATATCTATCCCAAGGTGAGGTGCAGACTTAGTTTAGCAGCTCATACAACATGGTAGATGTGAAATGGACATCATTTAGCTGTCTCATACAACAGCCTGGGAAACCAGTCTAGAGGCAGGAAAGGGCCCCAATGGAGTTTTCTGCTATTTTCCTGGCTGCCCATGTCTGAACCTGCCTACAAAAGGCAGGTGGTGTCTGGGCCTTATTTCGTGCAGGGAAGAGGACAAAAAGTGGCTGCTAACTTACTGTAACAGTGTCTGCATATTGTAGGAGCAAATTACTGCAGATGCAGGAATCTGCGCTAAAAACAAAAAGCGCTGGACATCACAGTAGGTCAGGCAGCTAACCTGGAGAGACAGGAAGCTAATGTTTCGAGTCTAGGTGACTCTGATGAAGAGCCGATAACAATCCTACAACATCAGTGGAGAGAAAGCAAGGTTAATGTTTTGAGTCTAGCTGACTTTATCAGAGTCATCTAGACTTGAAACGTTAGCTTGCTTTCTCTCCATGGATGCTGCCTGACCTGCTGTGATCTCCAGCACTTTTGTTTTTGTTTTCAGTGTCTGCACGTTACTTGCCTAGCTGAGTAGGAATTTTACTTAAATTGTGCTGATATTGCTACGTATTAGGTTTCAACTTACAAAGGGTTAACACCTCGGGATACAGAAGCTTTTTAAAATGCTTAAATTGGCTACAGGATGGAATACCAAATGGGCCAGCCATTTCAGCCATCATAAACAGCTTACTTCTGAATAATGCATCAGCTTTGAGACAATGTGAAGTCGATGAGCACATCACAGAGTAATTTGCATCTTGATGCTGGCAATGGGTTTTCATTACACCTGGCAGGGACTTAGTTGGACAATGTAGGTGCGCTGACATTATTCTATTCATTCATATTTCATATGAGATACACCAGTTTTTTCAGAGTCAGAATTGTTCATGAGGATACTTTTAAGTCAACCTAAAAGGACAGAATTCATGTAGCAATGTACAAAATTGTATGTCCTTTGGGGAATCTATTATGATCATTTTTAATTTGATATTGAGTTATAAAAGTACTCCTAGTCCTAATGCATCTGAAATCCCATTAGGAAAAGAGCTAGTGGCAGCAAATCCAAGAACTTATTGCTGAAGACCTTTCAAACTTATAAAAACAGCGCATCCCCTAATGGTAACACTCTTTAATGATTAGCAGTTTAGCATCTAGAAAATATGGTAGTGTGACCTGTGAATTGTAACAATGAAATGCCATATTTTGTATATGCTGTGATCTCACTCTCCTGTATTCCTCCTTCACTGCTTCCTTCTATGTTCTTCATAGCCTATCAGCTGTATGCTCTACTTTCTGTGGTTTCTCTTTTTTTTTATTCATTTACAGGATGTTGACATCTCTGGCTAGGCCAGCATTTATAGCCCATCCCTAACTGCGCAGAGGACAGTTAAGAGTGAACCACATCACTGTGGGTCCGGAGTCACATGTTGGCCAGACCAGGTGAGGATGACAGATTTCCTTCTGTAAAAGACATTAGTGAACCAGATGGAGTTTTCCAACAATGGACAATTCTACCATCTGCATGGCAGGATTTGAACCAGGGACCCTAGAACATTAGCTGAGTTTTTGGGTTAATTGTCTAGCATAATGCTACTAGGCCATTGCGTCCCCTTAAATATGAAGTGCTTGGATTCTGGACTAAAGTATCCAAACATTTGTTTCCCCTCTGTTATGTGTTAGAGTGTCTTTAACTCACAACCCAGCTCACTAAACTCGAGTATGAACAGGAAGAATAACAAATTTCCTTCAACCAAATATTGCAAAACTTTGTTCTCTGCTGTAAGTCCTTTTCCTAGCTACCAACTGTCTGAGACTAAATCAGACTGTTCACAATCCTGGAGGCATATTTGAACCTGTGATGAGCTTCTAAACATACGTCTGCACCGAGAGCATCAATTTCCAACTCTGTAATATCACCCAACCTAATTCCTGCTTCAACTCATCTGCTGCTGAAGTCCTCATTCATGCCTTTGTTACCTCAAGAATTGATTATTCCAATTTACTCCCAGACAGCTACCTGCATTCTACTCTCTGTAAACCCGAAGGCATCTAAAACTATTTTGTACATTTCCTCACTTAAACACATCCATCACTCCTATGCTTACTGACCTAAATTGACTCCCTGTCAAGTAATGTCTTAATTCTAAAATTATCATCCTTATTTCAAAATCCCTCCGTGGCCTTGTCCCTCACTATCTCCGTAATTTTCTCCTGCCCACAGAAGATTTTGGCAATGCGCTCTTAATTGTGGTCTTATGTAACCTGAAGTCTAAATTTGCTTTATCATGCTCCAATGAAGCATCTTGGGAAATTTTACTATATTAAGATGTTTAATAAATATATTTTTAAAATTATTCTTTCAAGAGATGTGGGTGTTGCTGGCTACGTTGGTGTATTTATTACCCATCCCTAAATTACACTTGGAATTGTTGTGGTGACCACCTTCTTGAACTGTTGTGTATGTACACCTCAGTGTCAATGAGGGAATAGAGATATAGTTTCAAGTCAGGATAGTGACTGGCTTGGAGGGCAATTTGAAGCTGTTGATGTTCCCATGCATCTGCTGCCCTTGTCCTTTAAGGTGGTAGATGTCATGAATTTGCAATATGCTGTTGAAGAAGATTAAGGCTTGGAAGGTGCTATTGAAGGAAAGTCACAGGTTTCTAATGTACTATCGTCAACATTCACTTTTAATTCTAAATTATTCATTTGTACAGTCAAGTTTAGGATACACAGTTTATTACATGTATTTACCTTATTAAAGTAATGTATCCACTTAAGTTCTTACCTGTTTTGTAATTGTTATAAAAAATAAAATAGCTCCCGTATCTAATGTAGATAGATGATAACGCACCCAATTTTTATTCTTACGACTCTATCTGTCTTCCTCTGGGTTGGCATCTCTGAACGTCACCTTTCTAAATTCTTGTCTGGAGGAAATCACTCTTATTCTTCCTGACTCCACAAAATTAATCAATAATTTATTTAGAGGCTCCCTCTAACTTGATCACCAGGGAAAAATAACTGGATAAAATGAGCACAGTTCTGTCCTACAGTGGCAAAAGGACCCCTCCATCAGTATGACATACCATCTCCATTAGAACCAAATTGCTCAATATTTTAAACAGGTGAGTGATTCAGTCAACCAATCTTAGTTCAGTTGGCTAGATGGTTGATTTGTGAAGAAGTGGGATGCCAATAGCATGGGCTGAGGTTACCATGCTGGACTCTCCTTCTCAACCTCTCCCTTTGCCCGAGTATGGTAGCCCCCAGGTTAAAACACCACCAGTCACCCCTCTCTCTGATGAAATAGCAGCCCT